TTTCACTTAGTAATTCTTGTAAATATCATTAAGAACAAGTTGTTGTCCATTTCCCAACTTACTAGATCCTTCTCTTGGGCTACCGCGAGTCATTCGCCTATATAATGAACATATCAAACATATAATTCACTTCAAATTACATAGTATACCATTATGACAAATAACTGTATATAAAACGACTAAGTGTTCATGTATCATATGCATGATGCTAAAATATCATAAAATGCATTGGCCAACGAGTATGTGAGAATTCTGGGTATGACAATGATAGTTAAGCCTCACTCTTAAAATAACGGCATTAATTTGATCGGTAATTATGATATTTAACCTTCTAACTCTCTTACGACCACAAGAATAAGGAAGTCATTTGAAATTGTAAATATATAGTTTTAACGGTAAATTCGCACATTTATAAGTTGTGTCTGTGTGTGTATATATAGAATAATTATTTTGTGGTGGTGTAGAACTTTTTTACCGGTAGAACTTACTGATAGGACTAATTTTTTACTATTATATATGATTTAAAATAATGTTATGAACACTAATTTCAATTAAAATTTTTGTGTACTAAATGATATGACATGTGAATCACCATCTTTTTTAATTAATAGATGCAATCTCTTATATTATTTTACGTATTATTTTACTCTATTATTCCCGTTCTCTATAACTACAAATTTTGCTTGGGCCCTTCACAGTCGGCTCCCCTGCTCCAGCCCGTCCAATTCGACTCTAATCTTTAAACCAAGCTGACCCAAATGCTCTCTTTTTAAAAAAATTTAAAAAACGCATTATAAAATTCTGAGCCGGGCCGAATCGGACTTAGGCACGTTGAGCTTTAGAGCCGAATTTACAGCTTATTGGCGTTTACACCCAATCTGTGTTTCTTTCATGTGCGAACTAGTTCATTCTTTGTGAGGGAACAAAGGAAACAATGAGAAGGGAACTAGTTCATTCATTAGGCATCCCATGTTGTTGGTGGAGATTTCTAAGTAACCGCAGTTGAAATCTAGCTTGATTTGTGTTGATAATAGATTGGGGGTCTCTGAATTTTCCTTGAATTTCTTGAAGGATAGAGTTATGGTTAGAACCTCTTGTGATGGTTTGTTGTGTTGCTCTAGTATTCCTGATAAGGATGTTTACTATGTCTTCAATCCCATGACTGGTGATTATAAGATTCTTCCTAGGAGTAGAGTGAGGCCCGTCACCCAGTTTCACCCCGACAGTGAGGCGGCTCTTATGGGATTGGCCTGCAACTTGTCCACTCAAAAGTTCAATGTCGTATTAGCCCCCCATCACCGAGCTTTCGGGCATACGCCTGATGGGATTTTCATGTTTTTGGTGTTTGATTCTGAGTCAAAGTGGAAGAAGTTTGTGTCCTTCAAGATGATCAGTTCATGTTCTCCCAAATGAACAGAAACCAAGTGGTGTTTGTCAATAGGGCGCTTCATTGGTTGACCGGTAGTAGTAGCTCTTGTGTTGTCGCGCTTGATTTGGATGCCGATGTTTGGAGGAGGATGTTATTGCCGGATGGAGTGAATGAAGGGTCTGGGAATAGAGCTTATTTGTTGGAACTTGATGGTTGTTTGTCTGTGATCCAGATCTCCGATACTTGGATGAACACATGGGTTTTGAAGAGCTGTGAGAAAGAGGAATGGAGTTTGGTAGATAGGGTGAGTCTAAGGTGTGTTAGAGGACTTTTGCCGGGCATTATCCCCATATGTCAGAATGGTGAGTTTGTTTTCTTGGCAACACAAAAGCATGTATTGTTGTACCATCGGAAGACGTTAAAGGCCTATGGTGTACTTCATTTGGCACAGAGCACTAGTAATGATGCATCCTATAGCTTTATTGTACTGTCATTTATTTGGAAATTGCATTTTTCTTTGGTGTATATCTGTAGACAAGTTCCATGTGAATAATTGAACATTCAATTGGTAGTTATTTGTTAATGCTTCATGCTTATTGATAATTGTACTATACCATGAAAACTTAGTTCCGTCGGTTCGCTTGTTTCACAGTTTGTTGATGCATTTTCACCTTATAATTCTGTGAAATTATTGTTCATTGGTGCTCATCCATGTTCTTCTGCCAGGAAGGTGTTATTCCTCCACTTTCTTGCGATTTTATCTAATTATCGACGTAATTTTGCACTTCTTTCCCTTGATGATTTGTAATTAGAATTCTAGTAGATCTAAGGCTTTAAAATTATTAGATGTATGATTACCTTACTTTATGAGGGAGCTTGGAAAGCATGAGATTCATGATAAAAGGGTTTTTAAGGTTTGGCCGTTTTCCGTTGGTTTTGTTTTTCATTCTTGTCATTTTCACACATTATCCTGGTTTCTTTCATGATTTGTCGTCGTTTTTCTCACTTATTGTCGTTCTTTACATTTATGCTTCATCGTGGTCGTCCTCTTTGCCGTTATTGATTTTACTTTATTTTGTGTTTTTCGTATGTCCTGCAGTTTCATAATATTGTTTCTTTATCTACTTTCTCTTGTCGTTTTTATATTTTGTCGTATCTTCAGTCCCCGATTTTACTTTGTTGTCGTCTCTATCACCTATTGTTATTAGGGTTATAAAAAATCACCCTGAACCCAATAATGTGTGAGGTTTCATGAATCTGAAAGACCCCTATCCGGCCGAACATGTTCAAAAGGTAGGTAAAATAATGCCCAAAAAGTAAGTAAAATAATGATAATAAGTTTAAAAATCTTCCGAACACAACATAAATGGTTGAATCTTGAGATAATTCTTATTGATTCTTTATTCTTGTTCTTGTCTTAGATGAGGTAAGTAACAAAAATAAGTTAGGGTTTATTTTTTTACAAAAAATTCATAGTTTACCTTAGGTAATCCGGCCGACTTGAGGTTACCTGAGGTACCCAAATGGTATATGAGTATCCTAATTCTACATGTTGTTGCAGCCCAAATCATTCTCAGCCCGAGACCTGCAGGCCGGTCCAATTTTTCTTCAAAACTAACCCACCCCGGCCGACTTACAGGTCTAACTGTTATTTTTAACATATCTCATCACTTCTTGTTTATGTGAATTTCTTGCTTACATTAACTTGTAGTCGTCTTTGGTCGTTTGTTTTTATGCTCCTTTGTCGTTTCACTTGTTTGATATATGCGAAGTTGCGAACGTGCTGCATTTAAGAAGTTAAGCATCTTATATGAAAATGCGAAAGTTGAAATTCTCATCTAAAACTTGTTAGTTTTCCAATGTCAGACCATCTCCGATATTTGTATTTATGTCAATTGTATATTTAACATAAAAAAGTATGATTATCATATATTTTACATATTGTGATCAAATGCATAATTATATTTTAAATGTTAAATCTACTTTATACAATAATTATTAAGTTTTGAAAGTTATAAAAGTAAATTTTTAATGTTAAAATAATTTGAAAAGATAAATGTTGTAATGATTAATTGAAAAATAAACAAATAAATTAATAACAATCAAGTATCAAATTCGCTTTGTAATCAAGTATATCATATGATAAATTTACCCAAAAATGACATTGTATTGGAGGGTTTTTAACACTCAAATGTAAAATTTGTAATTCACACGTCAATTATAATATTGTATTAGAGATGCTCTTGTAATGGCAAATTTGTGTATATATTTTGACCGTTTGTGCTAAGGAGTGGACCGAACTGCGGGGCTTAAGACTTTTGGCATATTTACTTATTAGGCGTGAAGAATGAGAGTCAATCTCATGTTGATTTTCTCTTTTTATCTTGAAATAAGAGTGGGATTAGTGGGTCCCACTCAAATTTAAAATTGAGTAATGAGATTGGCAATCTCATGCTCCCATTCCTGATTTAGACTCTCATTTCTGATATTAATCTTAAATTACTATCTTAGTCATAGTTTATTTATAAATTTAATATTCAAAAGTAACAATTATAACTTATATTTATTATCTTATTTGCCTAATATTATAATATTAGCCTTATTATTGTCAACTTTAATACAAAAAATATGTACATTATTTTGTTTATTAAAATTAATAATACATTTTAATTTTTAACACTTTATTATTTATTTATTTATTTTATTCAAATTTTGACAATTGTTTTAAATAATTAAGCAATTTTATTTATTATTTTATTACTCTATTACTAAAATAAATATTTAATTATGATTAATTTTAATATAATAAGTACTCAATTTATTTTTTAAATTAAAGATATAAAATTTATTTAAAGGCTATATTACTACGTAAATTCTCTCTAATTTGAAGTGTAAATAAACGTATAAATGAGATTTAGAATGATTTCGATTATGAATCTTGTCACTAAATAAACAACTTATTCTAATCCTGAATCCTATTTACTCTGCGTCTTGACCATTCGAATTTATGTCGATTAGACTCACATCTTAGCCATAGTGATTAGTGAGTCATTTTTTTTTCTCTCTCTTTCTATTTGTTTTTGGGCATAATAAAAAAGCTATCCATGTAATGTTTGCATTTATCATAACAAGATTATTTTTTGTGAAAATTACTGGGCCTCCCTGTTTTTAATTACCACCAAATTCCGAGGGACGAGAAAAGCAGTGCACAAAAATAAAATAAAATACGCCATGATACCTTCCAGGGGAGTAAAAACACATCAAATTAGGCTATTAAAAGATCTAAACAGATCTAAAAAAAGTATACACATCTTATTTTTATTTTAGATTTAAATTTTTTGTATTTTTTTAAAATATGTTTATATTTTTATTTTATTTTATATTTTAATAATTTTAGTCGGGTTGAGATTGTGCAGAATAGTCAAGGATTAGGATCCGCCTGTAGTACCTTCGACGAATATTTTTACTCATTCTTAAAATTTTTAAAATTCTTAAAATTCTTAAAATGAAATAGAATGGAAGGAAAAGGATTAGAGAAAAATAATAATAAAAAAAACATTAATTTGGGATTCTATTTGAGCATAAGAGCCTCGTGTGTGTCTTCACTGTCAAAATTCGGACAAACAAATAATATTAATATTTTATTCTCTGCTCATCAACGCCTTCCATTTTTCGTCCCTCTCCAAACACCATCTCACTTTCACGCTCTTTCGATTCTTCTTCCATTTGGGTGTTTCTCACTTTCAATTAGCTCCAGGTATGTCTGTTAATATCTTTATTCCATGAAAGATTTTATTTTCTTCTTCTTCAAATTCCTAGTTTTCGCCTGTTGCCCAGCTGTTTTCATTTGTTGTTCTTCCAAATTTATTTGCGTTCTTTCGTCTTAATTGATTGTGCGAAGTGGGTTTTCTTTTTTCCCCCTAATTGTTTGTTTATGCTGTTATTCAAGATTCTTCCATTTCGTGGGTCTTGGTTCAAATTCTTAGTTTTTGACTTCTGCCCAGTTGTTTTCTTTCGTTGTTCATCGAAATTCATTTGCTTGCTTTTGTATTTTTCGCTTGTGCAAAGTGGGCTTTTTTCTTTTAATGGGGGAATTTATGGGGATATTATCTAGTGAGAAGATTTCAATAACATGCATGGGCATGGCATACACCTGCTGGCATTGCTTTTTGTGTTACTCTTTTTCTGAAATGTCAATGTAAAGCTCAAACATTGATGACCATGGATTTTTTTATTTCCTTTTATTATAAGAGTTTCTCACTCTTTTAACCAATTTTTTGTGCACTTTTTTTTGGTCGTCGCTCACTCAATTTGTTCAAATTGTATGTACCTAGAGACCAGCAGAATTCTCACATACTGGTAATTATCTCCACTGCTTATTAAATGATTTGTTAAGATATTTTATTGCCTCAAGTTTTACTTTGCTTATTTTCTGTTTCTTTTTCTTCTTTTCAGTAAATAATTATTCCCTTTCCGAATGGATTTTTTTTTTTGGTTCCTTTGATTGGCATGCCCTAGAGTCCATGAATGATGTGGAAGTCATTCAACTTTCGTTACCCCTTTTTCTCTCAAGTATTTTGAGTTGAGGATGCCTATATGTATTAACATATGATTCTTGATATTCCTTGTTGGCAGATTATATTCCGAAAAAGTGAGCAGCTTTGCCTGGTATTTGATGTCTCCTGGTTTAGGGATGGTATAACTTGACAGTCCCTCCAAACTATAGTTCAACATTTGTTGTGTTATGGCTCGGAAAAGTAATCAGCAGAAGAACGGGGTTGATCGCCATGCGTCAAACCATAAAAAGCGGAGTTCAGATTTAGGGGGTGCGCAGCCTGATATAAAGGGTCATGGAAAAGCAAGTGAAGTCAAAGTGTTTCCTGGAGAGGAGGAAATCCCAAATGGTAACCATCCAAGCAGTCCTCTAGGAAGGAGTGCGGGCAAAGCCAATAATTCTGGAGATGAGCATAAGTGCAAGCAAAAACCGATGAAGCAATTTAAGAAAGATAAGCAAGAGATGAATGAAAATGGTATAGATCCTGAGGAGCAGCCAAAGCCTTTGGGAAGTGATTCGGGAGAGTGTAATGGAAACAATGAAGGTCCAAGTGTAGCAGAAGAAAATGGTTCAACGCCTCATCACGACCAAGGTCGAAACCATAGAAAAAGTAGATTACCTAGCTCGTTGAATGAACTTCATATCCAAAATTTACTAGAAAGCATAGAGTTTTCTGATAATGTAGTCCTGAGAAACTTGAGGGCATTGGCATTATCCTCCTTCAAGGCAGCTAATGAATGGATGGAGAGGCAAAGACCCTTGTTTAGTACACTAAGAACTAAAATACAGAATGCTCGTGTTTATGCCAAAACAAAGTTTGAGCAGGCATATCCCATTGTTTTGAAATGGTTAATCAATTTTGGGAGTATAATGCTTCTGATACTAATGGTGTGGTTAGACTGTGCTCTAAGGGGAATTGATTCCTTTCTACGATTGGGGACGGCATCTTTCTTCTCGGTTATATGGTGCAGCGTTTTCTCTGTAATTGCTATGGCTGGAATGTTCAAGTTCATTGTTGTTTTGGTAAGTCTACTTCTCATTTGATATTGCAGTGAGTTATGCAAATTAGAACCTTTTCCTGGACTTGAATTTTTTACCATCTATGAAGATTCTTTGTTCATTTATATCGAGTTTTGTATAGTGTGTTTTTGCCGAGTGTAAATATCTTCAATTCTTTTTCTATAATTTAAGACCAATTGTTTTGCAGTCGTTAGCTGCTCTAATTGGAGTTTTCGTTGGGTTCACTATTGGAATTCTAGTGGTTGCCATTTCTGGAACCGTTTTCTTGTGGCTGTATGGAAGCTTTTGGACAACTGTGCTAGTTATCTTGCTTGGAGGTGTTCCTTTTATCTCCTAATGTTATATGTGTATCTCTGATTCTCTATATAGTTGTTCATCAGACTTTGCTAAGACTTTAGAATCTCTATTAACTCAGGTTTGGCATTCGCCTTGAGTCGTGAACGCATTGCACTGTTGATCACCACTGTGTACTCTGTGTATTGTGCTTGGACATATGCTGGGTGGCTTGGTTTGATCTTTGCTTTAAACCTAGCTTTCATCTCGAGCGATATTCTGATATACTTTCTAAAGAACAATATGAATCAACAGAGAAGACCCAATGGACCTGCTGAAGAAGCTCCCGGTATGCAAGGTCAACCAGGTTTCTTCAACAGTGAGAACGTGCATGCCTCTTCATTTGAAACTGGCCCAGGATTTTCTGCGGATCGTAGTCCTGGAGTACCTTCAACCAGTGGAGCTGATTCTGATATAACTTCTGAAGATGAAGTTGTTCGGTTGTTAAACTGCATCGATCACTATTCAGTGTTGGGGTTGTCCCGATACGATAACGTGGATGTTTCTTTACTTAAGAGGGAATATAGGAAAAAGGTATAGTCTTTGTAATGGTTCGTCATGTTCTTTTTTAAGGTTCAGGGGTCATATTGGTCAAGCATGGCTCGCTCTTCTTTTGATGTTTCTTTTGTTATTTCCCCTATTACTTTCATTATCGAAAAGATACATTCAACATTGTTTCTTGTTTTATAAATAAACTTGTTTATGTTGACTGTCAGGCAATGTTGGTCCATCCTGATAAAAATATGGGAAATGAGAAGGCTGTAGAAGCTTTTAAGAAACTTCAGAATGCATATGAGGTAAATTGCTTGAATTTATCTTATGAAATTTTATAAAATTTTTGCTTATTTTTCCTGATTGTGGTGTTTTACCTTTCTATTTTCTTTGGTCAAGGTTTTACTTGATTCAGCGAAGCAAAAAGCGTATGATGATGAGTTGAGAAAGGAGGAACTACTAAACATTTTCCGTAGATTCAAAAGCACTTCACTAAAGGTGCGAATTTTTAGTTGTTTGGTTACACCCTGTTGTTTTCTTCTACCTTACCTTTGTCAGTGACAATTAGGATTATATGAGTACTTTGGGGGAACACCCATGAGGATTATTAACAGGCACAAAGTAATATCAACTGATGGCAATCTCATGTAACCACAATTGAGAAGGTTTTTTTCTTCACATGTTTGATAATAAATAAATAAAATAATCAACTTTAGAACAGTGCCTTGGCATGGTTGAGCCTCAGTCGACCATGTGTGGTAGAACAATCGGACACGCTGCAAATGAGGCATACCGGTGGAAGTGAAATATTTCTAGCCAACGGGTTAAAAAAGATCATTTTTAGCATGAGAAAATAGGTGGAAGTTTTACTTGAACATAGGTCATGTGATTTATTGGTAGGTCTTGTGGTTTATTGGTAGGTCATGCGGTTGTTGCTTCTTCTTGTACATAGGTTGAAGTTTATTTATTTATTTATTTATTTTTTTTGTACTGAAACCACAGAAAAAAAAAATTGTTCATTTTTTTAGGGAACTAATATGGTTCCAATTTTGTATGCAATCCATTTCTTAGAATGGGGAGCATGGTTTCTTTACTCCTGGAATGGCACACTTGAACATAGGTTGAAGTTTATTTTTATTTTTTATTTTTTGTACTGAAACCACAGAAAAAAAAAAAATTGTTCATTTTTTTAGGGAACTAATATGGTTCCAATTTTGTATGCAATTCATTTCTTAGAATGGGGAGCATGGTTTCTTTACTCCTGGAATGGCACACTGTGAGGCTGATGGTGATGACCCACTTGGAGATTCGAGACGAATAGCCTGCAAGAAGTGCAACAACTTTCATCTTTGGATACTCACTAGGAAATCAAAAAATCGAGCAAGATGGTGCCAGGTTTTCTTCATTTACCCCTAAAGCATTATGTTCATTTGGCTTGGCCTGAAGAATATGAACTTGAGGAGTTGGCTTTTTCTATAAAGAACATTGACAAAGAGATGGTTGTTGCGCCTGTTTTTATGTCTCCTTTTGGTTTCTCATTGAAGGATTGTAAAGACTTTCATCAAGCAAAAGATGGGGATGGATGGGTAGAACAATCTTCCCAGCCCTTCTTTTTTGGATTATTGCAAAAGGTATCTATAAATTTAACTTATTGGCGTTTACACCTGATACTTTGTTTCTCTCATGTGCAAACTAGTTCATTCTTTGTGAGGGACTATTATCATCTATGCATTGTCCCCAAGATTGGAAAATGCACATTTCTGTATTTAAACATTGTCCTCTACGTTGCAGGTGGATGCTCCAGCTGCATTTGTTTGTGCGGATAGCAAGATATATAATGCTACAGAGTGGTATATTTGTCAGGTAACTCACTTTTCTCTTGTTATTTATAATCTCTTACATTATGTACGTTTTCTTAGTGAAGTACGAGATTTCTCTAAATCGAGCTTCTCTGAGTTAAAAGTAAAAAAATCTATAATTATTTGGCATGGAAACGTTTAGTTGTTCTGGATTATGCATAGAGATAGAAGTTTTGGAAGTCAGTGAAGTGTTGAAAGTTGTTAATGACCCATAGTTTGTTGAGAGTGTATAATCTAAAATATATATTTCTCTTGCAGGGAATGAGATGTCCAGCCAACACTCACAAGCCAAGTTTTCATGTGAACACTAGTATAACCTCCAAGCATAATACTGGAAAGGGGCCGTCGAGTTCAGGACAAAGAGGTGGCCGAATTCCAACGTCTGTGGAAGAGTGCATGACCGAGGAAGAATTCTTCGAGTGGTTTCAGAATGCGGTGCAATCAGGCGTGTTTGACAACACGAATGCGAGCTCCTCCAACGAAAGCCCATCATCAACCAAGGCTGGAAACAGCACGGAGAGCGGTGGTAGCAATGGCGGCGGCGGGGGTGGCAGCAACAAGAGAAAGAAGAAGGGAAAGAAGCAATGGTGAAAACCCATTATCATCTCTTCTTGGAACAGTCTCCTGTATAAGCATTAGAGAAGCAGACAGAAAAAAAGGTTTATATGAACTTCCACAGTGGCCAATTGTGTTCTTCCAAAAGGGAGGGCTTAGCAGCAATAAGTTTTTTTTTTTTTTTTTTTTTTTTTTTTTTTTTTTTTTTTTTTTTTTTCTCACTTGAACCCCAAAATTGTATTGCCGCGCAGGCATGAATGGAAGTCCCCTGCAGCCTGCAAATATTGCAGAGTTTGTATAAAGTTTCATTATCATTCCCTTGGTTCATGAAATTTTGCTCTCCCTTAAAAATTAGCTTAGCATTTAATTTAGCAATGAAAAGGAAGTAAGCTTTTATGGCGGGGGGCTATATAACTTTCACAAATTTTCTTATTCGTTTATACAAAGGATCCCAATTGGTTGATGGTGTTTTCCACTTCTTCTTTTTTTTTTTTTTTTTTTTTTTTTTTTTTTTTTTTTTTTAATTCATCTGATGTTGTCCGATAAGTTAAGCACCATGGCAAGTGCTTTGAATACAGTATGGTATTGATAAAAATAAAATAAATAAATAAATAAATTCGGCTACTTGGTCTTTTTCTTTTATGAGGCTTAAAAATGTCATTTTATAATACCGGTATTTTTAAAGGTTGTTCTTTTATTCTTTTTGAGTTAAGTGACTTGAATGTAGATTTTGAGTTGAGTTTGAGTTATAACTTGAGTTGAAGTTGTAACTTGAGTTTGTGTTTGGTTGTGCACATTTAAGTTATGGTTTGAGATAATAATCTTTTTTAGTTTGTGTTTGAGTGAGTCAAAATTTAAATTTATATTTAGATAGTATTTTAATAAAAACTCAATGCTGATGGAAAATTTTAATAGGATATATAGGTGGGGTTTTATTCATCTTTTTGTTGTCAACGCATAGAAAAAAAATTATCTCAATCAGAATTAAAACGAAAAAGTTATAGTATTTTTAAGAATAGAAAAAATATTATTCATTAATTTGAGTTTGAGTTTCTGAACTCGAGTTGAAGAGGAAACTTAAACTCGAGTTTTAGTCCCAAACTCAAATTCAAATTCAAATTTAAATTCAAATTTAAATTTAAATGAATATAAATTTAAATAAAATTATAACTGAGTTACTTTTTTTTGAGTTTGGCTCCGAACAGCCCCTAATATATGGATCATACTGACAGTGCATTTGATGTAACTCGGTCAAAATCGCATCTAAAGCTATAAAGATGTACTCCAGCCAATTTAGCAACAAAAAAAAAAAAAAAGAAAAAAAAAAGAAAAGTGTAATCCGGTCAAAATGAAAGAATTCCCCTTGAAAAAATTGAAAGAATTCTCTACATAACAGTTGTGTTTTCAAAAAGACAACAGTATTATTTTCAATAATGTATCGATACTATTTGTGTATTTTTATATGATATGTGAATTGTTATTTTTATATTAATAAATGTTTAAAATATTATTATGTTAATTAATGATAAAAAATTACATCTAATAATAAAAAAATGATAACTCACATGCATAAAAATTATAATTTGAGTTAGTGTTGCTAGCATTACTCATTACTTTCCTAATTTCTCATTATTATATACAAAATAATGATAAATTAAAAGAAAAACACTTGTACTGCATGCTATTATTCTGGAGATTATATACATGGGAATGTTGCTGAAAAAAAAAGGAACTCTTATGCTTAATTTATCATTATTATTATTATTTTTTTTAAAAAAACAACTTACATAATGTATAATAAATAAACATTTTTCATAACAAAAAATCATAAATAAATAAACACAAGCCTAAAACACACTGTCGTATCTTACTATCTTCTTCTTCTAACTCCTAATTCCAAAACCTACTTTTTTCCGCGCCACACCGCACCCACCCCTTTCCTCTTCTCTCTTCTTCATTCATTCTCCGCCCTCTTTCCGTCGCCGTCGCCGTTGTGGAGTCGACTCGCCTGGTCGCTTGAGGTTACTTGTCTATTCTTCTTCTCCACTCATGAAATCTTTGATTTGTGTGTGTGTGTCTGTTTTTTTTTTCTTTTTCTTTTTGTTCTTTCTTTGGAAGTTGAGATTTTGTGGTAGAAAAACACAAGTGTTTGAGGAGATGTGAACGTGTCTGTTCTTTTTCATTTCTTTTTTGCTTCTATGAATTGATGGCATGGGAATGGGATTTCATAGATTTGAATATGGCTTTTGAATTGAATGTAAATCTTAGCTCATTGGACGATGAACACTCAGGCCTGTTTGGGAAAAACAGAATTTAACAGTAGAATGACAAGGAGAGGGAGATTGTCGTTAAGGTTATACCCGAGCTTAGCTTGCGGTTGTTGACTGTAGGAATGGAAAGAGCTTCAATTTTATTGTGTTTTGTTGTTTTTGTTTGAAGTTGAAGTTGGAATTTTTTTTTTGTTATAAATTGAAATTATTTTATGCAATTCGTTTTTATTGGGGAAATTTTTCATAATTGATTGATGTTTTTGGAATTTTTATGATTGTTCAAAATTGCTATTGTGATTTTTGGTTGATATTTATGAAAATTGCTGCTATTTTTATTTTAATTTGTGTGTTCAGTAGCTGTTTATGATTTTTTCTTGATATGTTTTACTGTTTTTGGAAGAATGATATTAGTTTGACTTTGAAATTAGTTGGATATTGTTAGAAGTTCATATTTGTGAGATTTGTGAAAGTTTTTTTGGTATTTGTTGGAAATTGGTATGATTATGGTGTTGTAAAATGTTTGCTCTTAATGATTTTTTGATATCAGAATTGCAAGTAATATGGCCTAAACACACTTGACTATCTAATTTCTAGTACTAGTTTGCTTTTTGTTATGTATCGATCCCCTTCTCATTATTTACAGAATTAGTCTTTGTTTTTCTTGTACTAGACTTTAAGTTACCCTCTTGATTAAGCGTAACTGCAACACACACACTAATAGGATGTAGAAGTTTCAAATCCTACATTATTCTTATTGCTTATTCTTTTCTGCACTTTTTGATTGAAGGTCCACGTAGTTGTTACCTTGCGAGGTGAGAGGGAGGGAGTTCAACCCGAAGATGAGTTTAGTTTTAAGATTGAAACATCATTTGCCTAATGGGTTTTACAGAAAACCATTTCGTTCTACAGTTGTGGCATTAAATCCTGGTAACATAAATGGATTATGGAAAAACTATGGTCAACCTGCAATTAAAGAGGAAGAGGACGAAGAAGTGGAGTTTGATCAGAGGAGGCTTCCTACTGATTACGATCCGGCAACATTTGATCCTTCTGAGCATCGCAGTCCTCCAACTGAGCGTGTTTTCCGGCTTGTTGATGAAATATCAGGACTTACACTGGCTGAAGTTGCAGAGCTAGGTGCCATTTTTATGCGAAAAAGGGGCATGACGGAACCACCAAGTGTCGGAGTTATGAAACCAGGAGCTGCTGGCTTAGCTGGAATGGCATTGGCAACGAAAGCAGCAACTGCAGCCAAGGAGGAGAAGAAACCTGAAAAGACCGTCTTCGAATTGAAATTGGAATCATACGAGGCAGCTTCGAAAATCAAACTTATCAAGGAGGTCAGGAGCTTCACTGACTTAGGCCTTAAGGAAGCAAAGGACTTGGTAGAGAAGACACCATCAATCTTAAAGAAAGGACTGTCAAAGGAGGAAGGAGAGCAATTAGTAGAAAAGCTGAAAGAGCTTGGGGCCAAAGTTGTTCTAGAATGAGAGCAAAGCAAAGTTTTGCCTTGGATGTCCGAGCCAAAGTTGTTCTAGAATGAGAGCCTTGGATGTTGTTCCCCCTTTTGTGGTATTTGCCAAAATTTAATTAAGATTTCTAGACATACCTGCCTCTTTAAAATTACCTAACCTTGATTCAAATGAAACAACAAATCTCAGATTTTTGCAATAGAGTTTTAGTTATGTTCACTGACTGAGTTGACATTTTGTGATCAAGAATGCCATAGAGGTGGAAACTTTTTGCACTTCTCTGCTCCTTTTTTGACAAAATAAACTAGGAATATATTTTTTGTGGTTTGTTTTATGTAATTTTTCAAATTTTTATCATTTTTTTTTGTATAATGCCAAGAAATTCGTGTGAATAAGGTAATTTTCTAATTTCTATGTTTTGATGATTCTCAAATTCCTGTTGTGGTGTTGCTGATGTTAATGTTCCAACTGCTTTCCTATTCTTTTATACACTGCACCTTGCCATTATTATTATTATTAGTTTTATTAAGTTTGATAATTAATTCAGGCACAAGAAAATAAATAAAAGGGAAATTGCCCTCATTGCGTTCAGTTATGGTATTATTGTTACCTGAAAACTGAAAGAGTGGGTTTTGTGTGCTTGTTCTTTGTGTGTTTATTAAAAATAAAATAAAATAAAATAAAAAACAATTGAGAAAGAGAGGAAAAGGAAAAAGAAAAGTGATGATCTTTGGCAGTTAGCAGTTAAATCTTACTCTGTCATTAGTTCTTGTAACTTCTACTTCTAAATTTGTATGGCTTATTTTGGACTTTAGGAGGCTTAAATAAGGGTTTTTTTTTAAAAAAAAATATTTAAAGAAAAAAATTAATCTAGTGATGTGTCACAGGTCTCTAGGTTTTGTTTTTCAAATCTTCTTCTCCTTCAGATTATAGCCTCAAAAATATTCTCTAATATTGAAATCTAAAATAAAATAAAATAAACTAAAATCCTAAGAACAACCTCAAATTTCTCAAAATAATTTCCCAAATATTTTCTCTAATGAGCTCTTCCAATGGGGCTCTTTCTTATTTTTGGGTATCTATCTGTAATCGAAGAAATTAATATACCAATTGAATATGCGTGTCTTCGGTCCAGGTTGCCAATTCATATGGTTTTATACGACTGCTTTGCTTTCTCTGATAAATTATATGTTCTCGTATTAACTTGCTATTAGATAATCTGTTAAGCTAGGATTCATTTTGTTATACTTTTTCCTGTATCCATAATAATAAGATAATCTATTGAGTATTATTGCTATTGCAAATCATTGAAATTTATAAATTCAATGATTTGTAGACATTTGGGAGACGTTTGATTCATGGATTAGAATTATGAGATAAGAACTATTTTCGATTTACGTGTATTTTTTATGAGAGAAAATACTGTAGTGAACCACGAACCATAATTCGAATCGGGGTACGAATTCCCCAACCAAAAAACTCCTTGATTACTCTTTATTATTTGTTGAAATTTACAAATTCGAAAATCACAAAGAAGTGTTCAAGGAGTAAACTACTAAATATCCTAATAGTTATCACTTATGCTTGCATGTTTTTTTTTTTTTTTTTCTAAAAACTTTTGAAGTTCTCTCATTGAGTGATTTAATTTGCTTTTTCCAACCTTTGTTTTGTTTTAATTCATATCTTATAAAACATCTTATTGCTAAGAATGTAAGTAACAAAAACCATAACATTATAAGAATTCTTAGCAAAAATGAAAGCAACAAAACCCCTAACGTAATGAGAACTCTTATTAAGAATGATAACATTAATATAATAAGATACTAAAAATAATAAAGAGTAATCAAATGAAAGAACAAATAATAAAATATTTACTGCCTTTTATTTTTTAACTCCTCAGTAGAACCTTTTTCGGGAGCAAGTATGATTAAGAAAAGAAAAATATTTAGTTGTAAGAATAAAATTTATGTGCATACTAAGATTAAGTGATTTTTTTTGGGTTTTTTTTTTTTTTTTTTTTTTTTTTTTGCTTTTGTTCTTGCTTTTCAGCCAAGCAGTTTTTCGAAAAGGATTACCAAATATTTGAAATAACGAGTGAAGTTTGACAATGTATAATCAATTGTTATAAAGGGAAAAAGAAGCATAAATGTTAAAGACTAAAATATTATAGTTGCGTTAGAAACTCGTTCTAAAATGATTTTATTTTTTATATGAAAATGAAAATGAAAACGTTTTGAATCTCATACATAAATTATTTTTAAAAATGCATTTGATAGTTTTATCAAGAGATTATTTTCAGTATAAAAAAACTCCATATAATATATATATATATATCTCTGTTCGAGAGAGGAGAAAACGAAAATAAAAAAATAAAAAATGATTAAAAGTCGTTTTTCATTTCTCTCTCATTTTACACTAAACTAAAAAATTATTTCATTTTTATTTTTTGTTTTTATTGCGTTATACGTCGTTTTAAAAACGATTTTATTTTTTATTTTTAAAAAACATAAAAAATAAAAATAAAATCAATTCTAAATACGATCTATACTTTTACTTCCCCAATTTCCCATTTATTATATGAAATTTTTTACAATTCTACCTTCAAGTAATTAATGGTTTAAAAGCAATAATTATCTTTATTATTGCTAATTTGTAGCAACATTTTTTCTGTTTTTATCTTTCGTCAAATGTCTTTTTAGGGGATTTTCACATTGTTGCAGCTATAGCCTATAAGAGAGATGTATCTCAATCTCAGACTCGGGCGTATTACAATAAAGTGAGCAAGGGTCAACACCGGAAGCTTCAAAAGCCAAACCCACGTGGAGAAATACGATTGGTTCTCAGAAACCACCTCGCAGAATATCGAACTCCCATGAGAAAGAAATACCCTTAAAGTTGCTAAAATTTACCAAACCACCACCAGCACTATTTTCATAAAACAGATAATTTTGTGTCCTATTGCGTAAGTCTTCTTTCCTTCTGCTTCTTCTTCTTCAATGGAGACGCTTTTTCACTCCTCTGCATCTACAGCTTTCCTCACTCCAAAATCCTCAATTAATCCGAAACCCACCATAAATATCTCTTCTCTGCCGCCATTGAAGCTCTTTGTTGCCCAGAGTCGGAGAAAATCGGTGATTGTTGGAGCAAAGAAGAAGAGCAACAAACAAGACGCTCACAGTTTTGTTCCTAAACCCGACGAAGCTACTGGCCCATTTCCCGAGGCCGTGCTTCTCAAGCAGGTCCTTTTCTGTTTATGACATTCAAAAGCTTTCATCTTTTTGTTGCGATATTATTCTATTTCCTGTGCTTTAGCTCTAATCTTTGATTCCGAGGTTAGAATTTTTCGTATTTTATTTCAGAAGAAAGTCGAAAAAGACGGTGAATTTCTTCCTGAATTTGCTGATGCTGACGAAGGTAAATAGTTGATTGATAGTAACTCAAAAAAATAAAAATAAAAATAAAAAGTTTCATTTTTGGGAGATGAAATTGAAATAAGTAGTAATATATAGTAATAATTTTTTTTTTTTGCTGTCGAAATTTTGCAGAAAATATTTACCAAGTTCTGAAGCTTCAGCTGGAAAATGACTTGCTAGTGGAAAGCTGTGAGTTTGTAATGTATTCATGAAGTTGAATTTTTCATTTGTGCCCTCTATGATTAGGCAGTTGTAAATAATAAAAGGGGGGTTTTTTTTTTTTTTCATTTGTATTATTTGTTTCTTAAAAGTCAAGATTTTGTTGTCTGTTTCTTTGTTTTGTTGCAGTGCGGCACTATGAAGTGGTGTATTTGATTCATGAGAAGCACGCAGATGAGGTTGAGAAAGTCAATCAGAAAGTTCAAGGTCAACTTTCCTTCCATATTCTAAATTTGCCTTATGATATAATTCTTATGCCAATGCCAAGGATATTCAATATTGGTGCACTCAAACTCTCACAACATTTCCACTGCATTTTTCTTGTTCTTTTTACTATATTTTTGGTATAGAAGAATCTGTAGTAGTTGACAAGTGTGTGGAATTGTGAACAGCTTATTTCGAAATTGTGAATGTGTACTAGTCCACTTTGCATTCTCAATTTCCATAGATGTAGATAGGCTCTTCTTTATCTTGTCTATCTAGAGTCAATAAGTTTAGGATTTATGTGCATATGATTTCTATATGTTAACTGTAACGGGTTCCCCGAGATGCAAAAACGAAGTTAGTAGGATGGTAGCTGGAAATTTCTTGCTCGAAGAATCACTTTGAGGAACACGTTACATGACATTTCTTGAGTGAATGATGTCCAGAAAGTTAGAAACTTGGTGATGCACGTATATAGAAGAGAGAGGGAAATTAACGAATTGAGAGAGAGAGAGAGAGAGAGGAAATTCTAAATTGTTAACATCAATAATCATGGTCAGTACAACCATTAGGTCTCTTTATAGAAAAATAGAAAAAAATGATAAGATAAACTAAACGTAACAATGAGATAAACTTAACGTAAACAATCCTAATAGATGAATGTATATTTTAAATTTCTAGTTATCTATATATGGTTTTCATCATTTATGTAAAATTTTCTTTGTGTTTTGAAGTTATAGCCTATTTTGTCTTTGGAGTAGTACTTGAAATCTGTCACAACTTGTTATTGATTGTTTTGACATGTTGCAGATTTTTTGAGGGAGAAGAGAGGCAAAATATGGAGACTAAATGATTGGGGAATGCGCAGACTGGCATACAAGATACAGAAAGCAAAGAATGCCCATTACTTTTTGATGAACTTTGAGATTGAAGCCAAGTGGATAAACGATTTCAAGAGCATGTTGGACAAGGAGGAAAGAGTCATTCGGCATCTCGTGATGAAGAGGGACGAGGCGATCACGGAGGATTGCCCTCCTCCTCCTGAGTTACACACTCTACGTGCCGGTATGGATGATGATGAAGAAGAAGAGGATGATCTAGATTATGACGATGAATACTATGATGAGGAGTGGGATGGTGAAGGTGAGATTGATGAGTACGGCAATGAAGACGGGGACGGGGTTATTTTTGTTAACAGTGATGAGGAAGATGAAGATAGAACTAGCAGTAGCAAGACAAGAATAAACAAATTGAGAGCTGAGAAAGTAGCTAGGTAGGTAGTTGAAACTTTTTCATGGTTCTTAACCTTTGCAGCCATGTTTCATGGTCAAATAGATAATGGAGGAGTTTTTTTTTTTTTTTTTTTATGTATTTGTGGTAAAATGGTCATCTAATGATTCAAAGAAGATTGCATTTTAAATTGTTGGATTTGTGTGATTGCACATATTATCCTTAAAATCAATATGAAGTGGAACTTTGGATCCAGCATTTACCCAATTAAATAAGCATTCAGGATTGCTAAACTTTCTAATGAGTGAGCCCTAACACCAAATGAACAAGTTAAAAGAAAAAGGACGGGACAAATTTCAAGTAATTTCTCTGAATTTTTACATAAAGTTCAAGTCATCCCCATAGTTGCATTTGTAAGTTATTCTTCAACTTTTTATTTATTTATTTTTTTGGGTCTTAGAGCATCTTCAATGTAATGTTATAATTGATGTGCCAATTACAAATTTAGATTTGAGAGCAAAAAATACTCTCCAATGTAATGTTATTTGTTGTATTAAATTTTTCATATGTTATATTTTGCGGTAAATTTCTCACTAAGTATAGCATGTGAAAATTTTGCTATTTAATTGCTATTAGTTGAAATGTTTATTTTTTTCATGTAATTATTGCAATTTTTGTAATTTTTAATTATTTTAAACATATAAATTTACTTTTACAATTTTTAAAGATTAATAATTATATAAAAAGTAGATTTGACATTTCAAATAAAAGTAAAAATGAAAATAAATATACAATTGATATTAAGCTTAGTCTTATTTTGTCCCTTTTTTTTAATGATTGGTAAGGTGGCAATAGACAGAGAAAAGTGGCATGAGAATTAAGCTTAAGATGCCTTATCCTTTCGGTATCCGAAACTGAATATGCTCAAAGTATATTGCTCATTGTTAATCATTATGTTTTGTTTACAAAACTATCATTTAAAATTAAACATCAACATTTCTTCTCCAAATATATATATATATATATATATAATGCACACACACATATATGCATGTGTATGTATATATGAACATGTCTAAAAAAATTGTGGAGGCAACGGAGGCTAAAGAACAAAAATAAGGAAGCAACCACTACTTTTCCTTTAGAAATTTGAACGAGCAAACATGATTGATCAAGAATGCTTCAAATTACTAGGCATGGCTTGGAGTTAGTAGCTATGTAACATTCACAACAATTTTTTTTCCCCTTGAAATAACGGGTTGAAACATTTTAAATTTTTGAGCTTTATTATTTATTATCATTAGTGATGGCGTTAGCAACAATAAAATTTGTAGGTAGTACAAAGTAAAATTATTGGGTTCCACACTTGTATAATTTGGCAGTTTTAATGCACCAATACACATTTTGATTGCAAAACTAACGATGATTACTATTTGTCATAAGAAAAATGATATTTATTCCTATCGAAATAAAACTCTATCACTCATAAAAATAATAGATCTTACTAGATTGGTCTCATTTATTCACCTAATAAGACCCACTTTATGTGAATAGCGGAGTTTTTAACTCCATCTAAATAAATATATATATTTTTGTCATAAACTTTTCCTAAAAAAAAAAATTAAAAAAAAAAGCATCACTTTCCCGATACGGAAACCCTTATAAAAATGAATGGCCCCTAATATTCAAACTACAATGTACGTGTACGTAGAATGTTTTTCCATAATAATATAAATTCACGTTCATCCATTTAAGCTTTCTTTCCTCAAAACAAAACCCAACAAGTTGAAGAAACAAGCCATGAACACCATGTCTAGACAACTCTACTCAATGTCTCTCCCAACGGCAGAAATGAAGGCCAAAGCAGAAGTCTATTACGGCGACGAAATCTGCAAGGCAAAGTTCACTCTTTTGTTGTCCCAAATAGGCTTCCCTGATGGCCTTCTCACCTTGGAGGACATAGAAGAAGGTGGATATGTCGAGGACATTGGATTTGTGTGGCTCAAGCGCAAGAAGATGATGAAGGAGCACAAGTTTGAGAATATCGTCGTGTGTTATGACGCCGTCGTGACGGCAATGTCGAGGACATTGGATTTGTGTGGCTCAAGCGCAAGAAGATGATGAAGAAGGAGCACAAGTTTGAGAATATCGTCGTGTGTTATGACGCCGTCGTGACGGCGTATTTGGAGCCTAATAGGATCAAGAACTTGACTGGTGTCAAGGCCAAGGAGTTCTTGGTTTGGATTAGTTTGAGTGAGATTTATGTGAATAATGATAATCATGATTCAGCTTATAAGTCCAAGCTCATTACCTTCAAGACTTCAATGGGTTTGTCCAAGTCCTTTCCAATTTCTGCTTTTGAGTAATTAAAAGCAATGGAAGGGACATGTCAAAATGTGACTGAAATTATAAGTACATAAATAATGTATGGTGGGGTGTTACTATGAATGTATTGATTAATTTGTACATTGTATGTGATGGGTTTTTTTTTTTTCCCTTTAATTTGGTTATTTGGTTTGCCGTGTGAATGAAAGACAAGACAAGAATATGCTTGAAAATGTTTATTCTCTTAGAATATGCTGTTAAAAATATGCCAAAAGAAAGGACACATTCTATCCAAGTATTCTACGTAACCAAATTGCCAAATTGACGAAGTTTTGAAATGTGCAGTGATATTTTTTAGGAGAATTTTGTAGTAGAGTAATCAAAATACCTTACTAATGTAATGTAATGTAATGTAATTGTAGACTCTCATATCACCTCAGAATTATTCTAGAGCAAGAAAAAATTAAGAAAATAAAAATATGAAAACATAACGAAACTTGAGGTTCCAAAATTTTGTAGTACTAATAAATTTTGTTTTTTAACCCGACCAAGAACTTCCATATTTTCTATTGCCGTAGAATGAGTTATATCAAAAGAAAAGAAAACAAAACAAAACAAAAGAAGAAGAAGAAAGATAGCATTTCCTGGATTCATGAAACATGTGTGAATAAACTGCCTTGCAATAACCCTACACATTTCACAAAGTAGATAGAAAACGCTTTTCAAAGTTTTGAGTTTATTGGTTCTTGAATCATTACTTACCCAACTCATCTCAAGATTGACAGATCAAGTATAAGGAGACGTTTGGTTTATGGATTAGTATCATGAGATTATAACCATTTTCGATTTACGTGTTTTTTTGTGTGAGAAAAAACAATATATCAAACCATGAACATGATTCAAAATCTTCTTTACATAAATGTTTCATCATAAAAATGTTACACTAACACCCCATAATTTTTGTCAATATTACGTTATAATGACACTTTAACTTAAGAGGTGTAATATAATATTGATAAAAATCAGGGGTAGGAGTTATTTTTTTATTTTTTCCTTTAGGGCGTTATACCATAATTCCAACAAGAAGACAAAGTTTTATCTTCTAAATTATGCCAAATTTTCAACGGCCATCTAACTAAATCTTACACGTATCTGACCTCCAGAAACTCCTCTTGAATTGGCAACTAGCTCTCAATACCTTAGGTGGCACTTCATATTTTTGGCTTCATATTCTCCTCCAAGACGTGTAGTATTTTTCTTGCTCAACTGTCCAAGCTAGTCTTCAATAAGTGATCACACATATAAATATGAAGAGTGTCATCAATGAGAAATGCATCACTTGTAACAGAAAGTCAAGAACCATGGCGAGAGCTAGTGACATTACCACCATTGTTGCCTTTGTGATCTTCCTCCTTCCGAAATCTCAATCCTCCGAAGTACACCGAGATCGTAGCTCCTCCTCCATCCCACAATCCGATGTTGACCTTCTAGAATTCCCTCTAAATCTAGAGTTCCTTGAAGCCGAGTTCTTCTTGTTTGGAGCATTGGGTTATGGCTTGGACAGAGTTGCTCCAAACTTGACCAATGGAGGCCCATCGCCCATCGGCGCTAGACGCGCCAATTTGGACACCCTCACGAGGGATATCATCTTGCAATTCGCATGGCAAGAAGTTGGACACTTGAGGTTCTATGTTCTCTCATATTTTCTCTCAAATTACATGGCTTCAAGTACATATTGTTGTTCATATATGACATAAGACTTAAAACATGTTGTAACGCAGGGCTATTCAGAACACAGTGAAAGGATTCCCAAGGCCATTGTTGGATTTAAGTCCGTCATCATTTGCAAACGTCATGGATCTTGCAGTTGGGAGAAGATTGAATCCTCCTTTCAATCCTTACGCAAATACGCTTAACTTTCTTCTTGCATCATACCTAGTTCCCTATGTTGGACTCACTGGCTATGTGGGATCAAATCCAAAACTCAAAAGTTATGCTTCCAAGAAGGTAAATATTCAAAGCATTAACAGTAAGGCCTTGTTTGGTAGGGGAGAGAAGTGAAAGGAAGGAAAAGGGTGGAAGGATTAGTGCATGGTTTTCTTTCCTTCATATACGTCATATTCATTTTTTTCATTTTGTCTGCGAGGTTCTCAGCTTGTGGCGGGTCTTCTAGGTGTAGAATCAGGCCAAGATGCTGTGATAAGAGCCCTGCTATATCAGCGTGCACTGCAGAGAGTGCCGCCGTATGGGATAACCGTGGCAGAATTCACGAACCAAATTTCAGAGCTAAGGAATAGGCTAGGGTCTGCAGGCTTGAAAGATGAAGGGCTTGTGGTCCCACTTCTTCTAAGTGCCGAGGGAAGAGTCGCAGGCAATGTGCTCGCCGGAGACGAGTACTCACTGGCATATGCAAGGACTCCAGAGGAGATACTTAGGATTGTATATGGGAGTGGGAATGAAGAAAGGCCTGGGGGTTTCTATCCAAACGGAGCTAATGGTCGTATAGCAACATCTCATCTTAATCCTGTCTAAAAGCTAAGATGAGTTCTTGTATTGCTGATCCCCATGTTTACTATTTATGTTTATTTGACTGTAAGCTCTTTCCAAGATAGTAAATAACACAGCTTTTTAAAAGCTTTTGAGCCTAATATGAGTTTCCGGGCAAGTACAGACATGAAAACCAAAAGTCATCGTTTAGTGCATGAAAACCAAAAGTGAAAAGGAACTTGGAAATAGATGGGACTTTGTAGTATATAGGTAAAAAATATTTTAATTGCAATGCGTCTATCATATATGTACAAAATTGTCAGCTTACAGGAAAGTGAACAAAATTGAAGAAAGACAACTTACATGATATATTGCATATCAGCACAACAAAGATCCAAAGGGAATGTGGAGCTACACTTGTCGATGAGCTATACTTTTTCTAACAGCAATATCTGTAGACACCACGTCTTTATTGTCTTCCAAACTCGAGCCCCTAACTTATCGCAGCTGGAGTTTAAGCACAGCTATAGTCAGAGCATAATTAACTGAAACTTCTTCAGCTGACAGTGTTACACCACTTGAAATCAAGTAAACCATTGTCCGCATTGGCAGAAATGTGGTATCTCAATGTCCTTAAAAAGTCATCATTTTGAGAATAATATGTAACTCAAGAAATGAGCAGATGAGCAGTCCAAATTGTGAAAGGTGGCAGCTATGGAATGTTAGAACCTAATCGATTCATCCATCAGAAAAATGAGACCAAAAACCTTGAAACTGACCAGTAAGTACTATGGGGTCAGAGAAAGGAAGTACTGACTTGGGCAACAGCTGGAGGCCACAGCTTCATATCCATGAAGCGTAGTTTGAAACTAAAGATAGCAGAATCTGCAAACTCTCAGTGACTCCCTTACATGCCGTGTATCTGTATATCGCAGGTGAAAGCAGCATTCTCAATTCTGCTTTTATCCCTTTGAACCGAGATGCAACAAGGACACTTCAAGTAAATTTCCATAGTCCAACGAAGTAATTGTCGGTGATAAGTTGACATTCTTTAAGAGTATCCAAATTCAGAAGCTTTATCCCTTACCAAGAATATCATCCACAACATGTATTGGCCCCAAATGACCTAGAGTGTTGAAGAAACACCGGACCAACACATTCCATGTGGCAAAGTTGGGCCAAACCCCTTCACTTACCATCTTCTGAAGATAAACAATGGCCTCCTCTAAACCTATAGAGTTACAGATTCCCCACATAAGACTAGTGTAGGTCATCACATCAGGGCGCCACTTTTTCGATGAGCCAATTCTTTCAAATAGTTGGATTGCAGTCCTAACCCTGTCCTGCTTACAGTAGGCATAAATAAGAGTGTTATATGTAATGGCATCAGGCTTTTCTCCTCCTACAAGCATTTTGCCAACTATCTGCAAAGCCTTCTCAGGCAAACCGGCATGACAAAACCCATAAAGGATCGTATTACAAGTAACTAAATTTAGCTCCATTTCCCTTTCCTTCATCTCTCTAATGAGTCCAAAAGCATCTTTAAATCTGTTCATCTTGAACAGACCATCTAATAACTCATTATATGTTGTGATGTTGGGCGAGCAACCATATCTCCTCATCTCATCAAGCACTTTTAGAGCCCACTCCACATTTCCACTTCCACATAACCCCTTGATGAGAGTGTTGAACGTGATGGTATTTGGAGGACAACCTTCCGCATTCATATTCTCTATAAGAAAATAAGCCCTCTTGAACATAGAATTCCTACAGAGGACATCTACCATGCAAGTATACACGACGACATTAGGACGACAACCGCGTCTCATCATGTTGTTCCACGTCTCCGACGCGCCAAAAAGGTCACCGGCTTTTGCAAAGCCATCAATAAGAGTGCTGTATATGGTAACATTTGGCGAGCACCCATTTCTCTCCATCTGATGGACAATAGATACAGCTTTATCCACATTTGTAGTGGAGCAGAGACCGTGTATTAGAGTACTATACGCAACGACATTAGGCTGGAATCCCTCGCTAATCATCCGGTCCCACAATTCAAGAGCTTCAAGCACTCTTCCTTCCAAAAACAACCCCTTAATTAAGGAAGAAAACGTATGAACATTAGGGTCACACCCTTTAACAAACATTTTACACAAAATCGCAAGAGACAAGTTGACACATCCAACATCAGAAAGCGAACTAATAACAGTCGAGTACGTGATAACATTCGGGTGGATTCCCTTATCTGCCATTTCACCCAACAACCCCAAAGCCTCCTCAATTCTATTCTCCTTGCACAAACCATTGATCAAAGCATTATAAACCGGCAAAACAGGCTCGAACCCAACAGCAAGCGCTCTCGCCTCATCAACTTTCCTGCGCGTGCACAACGACGAAACTATCGTGGTGTAGCTAACGGCATCGGGAGAGCACCCCCTCTTGGACATTTCTACAAGCAACTTGCGGGCATTATCCACCCTATCATTCTTACACAAAGCCTTAAGAAGAACATTATAAGTAAACACATTTGGAACCAACCCATCTCTCTTCATATTAGTATAAACCGGATTAATCATGTTAAACCTATTCTCGCTAAGCAAAGCATCCAAAACATGATTGTAAATCCTCACCGTCGGTTTACACCCAAACTCACTTATCCTATAAAACATCTTCAAAGCCTCCTCTGCCCAACCAATTTGCCTATAAACAAGAATAATATACGAGAAAAATCAATACTTTAAGGAATATTTCCAAAGAAATACCAACAATATCAGCAAAAAAAGTAGTCTTTGATCATTGCCTGTAGGAATTGATAACGGTGACGAACAAATCCTCAGAGCATGCGATTCCTTGGAGCTTCATCTGGTGAAGAAGGTACTGGATTCTATCGATTTGGCCATGGCGGGAGAGCTTGTCGATCATGGCGTGGTAGGTTAACGGAGTGTGGCTGAAAGCTCCGGAATTGGAGATGGATTTGAAGAAGTCCATGGCTAGGGCAAGGTCGGGCTCCTGGTTCAGCCTCTTAAGCACATCGGATTCCTTGAAGACAGGTTCGGAGTCGTTGGGATTTGGAATTGGCTTCGTGGTGTTGAGGAGGAAGAAGGGTTTCGCCATTGGAGATTTACGTAGCTTAAGCGCTAAAGAACGTCCTTCTTTCAAGTACATTTTCAGATTTTTCGCTCTGAAATTTTCTGGTAGGAAGAATAAGAAGAAGAAGGAATGGAGTGTAGTTTTGGGAATATAATGGGCGTAAAATCGTCTTTTCGGTAGAAAGTTTTGCTTTTTAAATATTCAGAAATTAGAGGTGTTTAAATAAATATGACAACTTTAGAGGAGGAATGTGGAATTTTATGAAAAAAGAGCTTCGAAAAAAAGTAGAGTTCGGAATTCACAAAGAAAGAGCAAAAGCAAGAGAGAGATTTCTGATTGATTAAGAGTTGTTTTGCCTCTGGAGATTTCTCTGATCGGTTTTCATCTTCAGTAAAAGTAAGATTCTTTGTATTTTTTCTCTCTGAATTCTTTTTTTTTTCTTTTTCTTTGGGTGAGCTTCCAATCATAGATCTGTATTGTTACAATTACAATTTGTATTCTATATGACAACAAATCTGAAAAGTAATGCCTTTATTGTTTCCTAACTTCTTCAAGTTTAGTTTTTTCTTCTTTTTCTTTTCCCCTTCGATTTCCTCGAATGTTGAATTCTAATTTGATTTTTCTGCTGTTGAATGGGATTGTCAGGAAACTTGGAATTTTCTTTTTTGGTCTTTTTTTTCAGTAGCTCTGTTTGGATTAAGACTTTATAGTGGAAAAAGGAGGAGATTTTCTTAATAAGCATTAGAATTGAGCTACATTTGATTCCCACTTCAAATTTCTTTGCCTCTATACGGTTTTTTTTCCCACCCTTTTTTTTCTTGGTCTTGTTGACTTAAAATCTGATTTGGTGATTAGTGGATGCTTAATTATTGATAAGTTTAATTGAATGAATAAATGAGGGAATACACTAAACTTATTTTTTACCATGATTTGACCTTTGAGAATGATGATCTTGGGATTGCTTAGGCCAATTTGATCCTTAGTTGAGTACCTGTCATGTCCGTTTCATTAGTTCTAATCACAACTCAAGTTTTTACTACAGTATTTCTATCACAAAAATTTAAATTCAACTTTTTCTGCTATAGTATTTTCTCTAACATAAATTCACTTTTAAACTCAAACATTAGAAACAGCTTTGTTCTTCATCCAAAAAACAGGGAAAGATTTCTTTTCTTTTCTCTCTCTTTCTTTCTTTTTTTCATGTGCCATTACTGGCGAACGAATGCCGTTGCAGTCCTGAATAGAATTCATTGTGAAATGCGTGCTTAATTTAGCCAATTTTGCAGTGTTGGTTTGGTTATGAAATCTGGGAGGGTTTCAGAAACAATTGTATACTGGATGTTTTGCATGGTATGCTCCATGGAACTTTTAAGAGTTGACTTACTATTTTGCAAGCAAGAATGTCCGGTATGATAGTGGTTGTATTGCATGTAACCCATGATTGAACATACAGGGAGAAGTGTCTCCTTCTTCCACCTATTCATGTGTTTACGTACAAAACAAGGAACGCCAATTTGGTAGGGCCTGCTTAGATTGAGAAGAATGAAATAGCTTTGCTTACGACATCGTGCATATCTTCCGAGGGATTAGTATCTGCACAGTGATGAAAGGAAGGAATCTATCGCCTGCTCGTTGATGTATCAAGAACACAAGTAATTTCCTTTGTTGTACGGAAAGAGGACACGACGTGTAGCCCTGTTAATTTTGTGGTGGAAAATTTTGGTTTAGGTTCTTCATGAAGCTGCTTTTCTTCTTTTAAGTTTACTAACCTTTTGCATTGATGGATATGATCCACTCCGTTCAAGTCCGTTCTTTTGCTTTAATAAAACGCATTTGGTTGAGTAAACATACGGTTGGATGAAAGTAAGCATATATCATTCCAATTATCCATATGTATCGATCAAGTCCTGACCGAAAATGCCACTCATGCAAGGGGTGAACCTGTGTTTTTGCAGCTGGATCTGCGTAACCTGCAAGTTGAGGACTCTCGGTTAGTGAACTGCAACATTATGAGATAAATATTAACATTCTGGAAGTTACTGACCGAGAAAGAAAGTGAATGGGCTCCAGACCAACTCAAACACTCCAGGTATTTCCCATACCACGATAACCACAAAGAAGCAAGAGATGATTTTTAGCGCTATGACTGAACTGTTCTCGTTATACTTGTTCAGAATACCAAGTGCCCCGTAAACCATAAGGGTGAACAGAGTGTGCATGGGGCAAATGTAGTATAGCATGTAACTGTTGTCTAGGACAACGCAGCACAAGAAAACCAGGAAATTAAGCCGCCACATCATCTGCTCAGCAAGATTGTTTAAAATTAGTTTGAAGTGCACTAGATGCTGAAAACTAAAGAAGCAATCGTAGATTGCTAAGGGATGGACTGCAAACCTGTGCAAATCTTGCCACGCTGAAATCCTTGCGGACATAGTAATATGAAAAGTTTCCAAATCCAGTCATCCAAACATATGCAGCAATGAATACTCGAATTGCATTGTAAATTTCTTTTGCAGCAAAGTAGTGGTACATCAAGAACAAAACCTGAGAGAGAAAGGGAGTAAAACAAAACAAATAATGTGAAATACTTGATTCACGAATTCTTAAACAGCATTTGTGAAAACCAAAATCGGTGTTCTGACATCTAATCTGTTTATCTTGGAATTGCATAAGAAACGGTCATGTGCACTTTAGATAAGCATA